GTGACGCCCTAGACGAAAGTTTATCGACCAAATCGGCGATACATTGAATCGGTGAACATACATAGAAAACCATATAGAATACAGAACCTTTTGCTGTTTTGAACTCGGGTAAAAATTAATACAATGACCTCTTTGTAACGTGGTACAGTCACGCTACAGCGTGTTGTGGATGCAGCACGAATACATTAACTCGACCGGGGAAGGAGCACGCTCGCACAGAATTCTAAAGTGTTTAGTAAAGGTAAATGGTGAGAACGAAAAGATCCTTTTTTTAGTATATAAAATTGAAGTAACAATACAACTTACAGTGTACCTGATGGTAAGTGGCTATTGCAGTCTATGGGCACCTGTAACCAGCATAAAACAGACCACCTGAGGACTAAGATCGAATACCTCACAGGCTGTAACTATGCTGATTCTCTATTCCCTTCTGACCAGGTCTTTTTTTTAGGATAAGGGTGAAAAACGAGCACACAGTCCACCTGATGGTAAGTGTTTGCTGCGGCCCATAGACATCTACATCTATCCTCTATTACAAATCAAAATGCAGATGCATTGTCACCCATGAGGACTAAGATGGAATGCCTCATTTCCAGTAAATAGGGCCTCCGGCCACATGCACTCATAAAGCGAAACGCAGGGGTAAACCTCTACTTCACGCTGGTATTCTGTGAGGTCGTGGTACCACCCCGGTTCGAGCCGGCCCATCCGTGCGACATCTGCCGCGTGGCTCTACCACTGTTAACGACACGACGGTTACGACAATGCTCGCACTACTATTTACGAGAATGACACCTAGGCTGAAGCTCTACCCTGTTATGCAGAAGACGAATCCGTCCTACCACCTTTAGTGATAACTAGTAATTTCGCCTTAGTCCTTAGCACTTAGGGTAGAACTGTGTGCTCATTTGTCAACTCCTACGACACAGGAGTTCAGGAGTTTACTCTTACGTGGTGGAGTCATGCTGCAGCTATATTAGTAGTATAGTTATTGTACGAATGGGTCGGCTCGACCGGGGAAGGACCACGCTCTCACAGAATACCAGCGTAAAACAGTAGCTTTACGCTGCTGTGTTTCGTATGGTGAGTGTAGAGAACTGGAGACCCTTTTTACTGGAAACGAGGCATTCCATCTTAGTCCTCACGTGTGACAACGCATCTGCATTTTGATTCGTAACCGCGGATAGATGTAGATAACTATGGGTTACAGTAACCACTTACCATCAGGTGGACTGTGTGCTCGTTCTTCCCCTATAAAAAAAACCAAATTTACTAATTTTATAATTTAATCTTAAGAAACAAATATTTAGCAGGCGCTTAACCATGAAGCAAATCATGCGCTTACCAGTTAAATTGTCATTGTGAAGAAATCGATGAAAAAACATATTATAAACACTGTCAGACTGGTACACTGGAGCAGCATGGCCTGGCGGACTGATTACTCTATAACTCGATGGCTTAGATATGCCCAACAATGGGCTGTTTATTGTTTGTACACATTACGTAGCCGCGATTCTTAAGACATGTGCAACTGCAGTTCGATTCCCGCCATTACCAATATCTATGACATTGATAATCTCAATTTTAAGTGCAGACTGACAATGGACTCGACACTGAAACTGAAAGAAAACATCGCGAGGTAACCTGTATGAGAAATAAGTACAGAATGGTAGACTATTTTTCTTTCACTTTACCCTAAAATATAGGAGAAATGGTTTGTGTTCAACTTACTACATAAACTTATTTCTTATTCATAAATTAAATTTGCTTGCTTGCATGCTATTTTTTTAACCGATTTCAAAAAGGAGTAGGTTCTCAATTCGAGTATATGTTTTTTTGTATGTATGTTACGCGATATCTTCGAGGATTATGAACCGATTTTAATGATTTTTTTTTTATTACATAGGCTTTACTTCAAGGGTAAATTTAGAAGAATTAATTCCGCTCCCGAGGGTGGAAAATAGGGCAAGAGGTTTCATATTGAACTATTGTTTAAGGAATTTCATATGATATCTTCGCAAATTCATAACCGATTTTAATGATTCTTTTTTTATTAAATAGTGTATACTTCAAGGGTGGTGCCATACAAACATCCCAAGGGCTGCAAATAAATAACTTCTTTTTTAGCAATTTGAAGTAGGTGTTTACTTTTTGGTAAAAGTTATAATGCCATCAAAAACATAACTTGTAAAAAATGCCAAGTCTCGCAACTCAGTTCTTCTACCGTAAAAAGTTGTGAGATCGATGTAATACCAAGTCGGTTAATTTATTCAGTCCCTACTTAACATGAAACACAATGTATCTGTCAAGTAATACATATTATATTAATATGACTGTTTAGTGCGATGGCAAGTCAATTTATTTATTTAAAACATAAAATATTTTTAATATCGATATGGTCACTATAAGATGTTGTTAGGTTAGCTAATTACGTAATAATTTAAGACAGACAGAAGGATCCTTAAGTAGGGACTAAATAAATTAACCGACTTGGTATTACATGGATCTCACAAATTTTTACGGTAGAAGAACTGAGTTGCGAGACTTGGCTTTTTTTACAAGTTATGTTTTTGATAGCATCTCATTTCTTTTTATAGATAGTTATATCTAGGTACCTATTTACACCTATTAATCCATTATATTATACATATATAGGTACACTGATTCATTCACTGCAATTGTAACTTTGTAATCCTATATATTTATAAGGGATTACAAAGTTATTTATGCAGGTGGTTTATCTTGAAAACTGGACCTAAATTGCAATATATTTTAATTTTTCCTTGATTTATATATTAAACAATCATTGTATTCAAAATTTGAAGCATCTATGTCTGCTAGAAGTGCATTAGCATTTTGATGTTCGGTCAGTCAGTTAGTGACAAAATTAAGAATCTTTGACTATGTTATAATTCTTAAACTACTGGTTCAAATATAATGAAATTTGAAATATACCGAGATTATACAATGCCTACTTGGTTACTGAAAATTCAGGCTTCTAGTTTTATCCTCAACGAAGTTATAAGGTTTCGTAAATGGCCTGAACTGCTTCGAGAAAAGAATGGTACGGCCGTGCCACTTTTTTGCTTTTATTTTTTTATTATATCTTATATTTTTTCTTTTACATACATCGCTTCTTGATTGTCTGTTCATGTGAATAAATGTATAAATGGAAACGGATTTATGGCGCAGTGGCTTAGCAATGTGTAGCAACGCTAAGGGCCCTGGTTCGACTCCTGCACGAAACAAGTATTTGTACGGCCTACAAATAATTGTTCCGGATCTGGATGTTTGTCCTTGTGAAAATTTTTTTTTATAGGATAGGGTGACAAACTAGCACGTGTTGGTAAGTGGTTGCTGTAGCCCATAGACATCTACATTTATCCTCGTTTGCGAATCAAAATGCAGGCATTGTCACCCGTGAGAACTAAGATGTAATGCCTCTTTTCCAGTAAAAAGGATCTCCGGTTCTCTACACTCACCATACTTAACACAGCGGCGTTAAGCTGCTATAGCGGTCGTTCCCTGGTGGAGTCGACCCATTCGTGCTACAACTATACTAATAATATAGCTGCAACATGGCTCTACCACATACAAAGATGTATGTAAACTGCCCCCACGATACAGGAGAGAATCCTAGTGTGGGGCTAATGTTTTTTAAAAAAAGAAGGAGAAAATTAGGTCTTTTTAAGGTAAACATTTAACACTCATTCACTATAAATAGATTTTTACAACTTCAAAACAATACACATAAAACATTTTGACTTGAGTCAAAATCAGCAGCACTCACGTAAAATAAACATAAGTGACAAGTTAAAAAAAATAAACGTTAGTATCGTCATTCGTCATCATTACACTCTATGAAAGATTCATTCTGAACATAGGCCTACCAGATAGGGTCAACTTCATAGGAGTTGACGCGCTTGGTATGCTGTTCAGAAAACGCAGTTTATTATTATTATTATTAAGCTGTTATCACGAAGATACTGCTGGCCATCTCCTGTATCAGTTGCTTCTGTCGCCTCTTAAGACATCCGTGAGATGACTTCGGGTAGTGAATTTACAAGTCACAACTACATGGATCTTTATAAATCAATAAATGCTAGACAAATCCCTTAATCAAAAACTAACATATTTTCTTCATAGAATAAGGCTGACAAACGAGCACACAGCCCACCTGTAAGTAAGTGGATGCTGTGGCCCATAGACATCTACATTTATCCTCAATTACGAATCAAAATGCAGATGCGTTTTATTGTAACCCCTGAAGACAAACGTAGAATGCCACGTTTCCAGTAATATATATGGGCTGTCCGAATATATGGAGTATCTCCGGTTCTCTATAATCACAATACGAAACAGCAGCACTGAGCTGCTATTTACCTAATGTTGGTTTTCTGCGAGAGCGTGGTCCTTCCCCAGGCGAGCCGACCCATTCGTGTAGTTGTAGTTGTAGCACGAGTGGGTCGGCTCGACCGGGGAAGGACCACGCTCTCACAGAATAGCAGCGTAAAATAGCAGCTTAACGCTGCTGTGTTTCGTATGGTGAGTGTAGAGAATCGGAGACCCTTTTTACTGGAAACGATGCATTCCACCTTAGTCCTCATGGGTGACAACGCATCTGCATTTTGATTTGTTATAGAGGATAAATGTAGATGTCTATGGACCGCAGCAACCACTTACCATCAGGTGGACTGTGTGTTCGTTTGTCACCCCTATTATATAAAAAAAAAATCCATATTATCATCTACCACGTAAAAACCATAAATCATTTATGCACGCATATTATTAAAAAAAAAGTTTTAAATCATCAAAGCAGGAACATTAAAATCACGTAGTTTCATTTTTAAAAATCGCTTTCAACAAAATCGAACACGGCCCGCTTACGCTGCATTCACACACGCCGAGCACCCGTGCAGTTGATTGCCGAGTCTGCACAACTTTTTGTATAAAAACGGCCGTCGGACTCACAATCGCCACTGTTTGCATTAGCTATCAACATGAAGGCTATTGCATTGCTGCTCTGTCTGGCTCTAACCCGCGACATCGCGGGCAGCATCTTCCGACATGAGTACTATCCTCAAAGGGACCGCTTAACGGTCCAACAGCTGGACTACAACGATCAACAGTCAACCACACGAAACGAGAAAACACACCAAGAGTACAACCATAAGTACCACCATCACCACAGTTCCAGCGGGAGCTCTGAAAGCAAGGAGAAGCCCTTTGAAGACATGAACAACGACTACGCCACCATTCAGTCTGTGAAGAATTGGAACACGCCTCTGTTCTCAGCAATCATAAACCCGGATAATGCAAGGCCGACGTATGGAGACGTTATCACCTGGAAAGGCGTACAATTTGCCGCTGGGCCTAATTCGCCCGTTAGTGACCAAAAGGACATAGAAAAAATCTTCAAAGAAGCCTATAATACCATGAAGCACTTCACTGAGGCGGAAAAGAAGGCTTTCCACGCTGCTTACCAGACCGCCCACAAAATTGAAAACGAGGACGTTCATTTGAACTCATCTCAATTACTCAAAAAGTACCAATACCACGTTGAAGAATATACGGTCAAAACCGACGATGGCTATTTCCTCAACATATTCCGTATCTTACCGAAGCAGTATGAGGATGTAGAGTACAAAAAAGATAAACCAGTAGTTTTTCTCGCTCACGGTCTACTCGGAAGTTCTGACGACTGGCTGTTGATGGGTCCGAAGAAATCCCTTGCATATATGCTCTCCGACGAAGGCTACGAGGTCTGGCTCGGCAACACACGTGGAAATAAATACGCCAAGCGTCATGCTAGCAAGCACCCAGCGCAACCAGACTTCTGGCAGTACAGCAACGACGAAGTCGCCCTCCATGACACGCCAGCCATGATCGACTACGCCCTTAAGATATCCGAACAGAAGAAACTTTACTACGTTGGCGTTTCCGAAGGAGCAACAACCATCTTCGCTCTAATGGCTTCACGACCAGAATACAACGAAAAAATTGCCAGTGTACACGCCATCTCCCCTATGGTATACATGACGAAGGTCCGAAGTCCGCTTCTGCGCATGATCGCTCCTAACAGTCCCTTCTATGAACGTTTAGAATACCAGTTAGGAAGGGGCGAATTCAAGCCTTCCAAGGAACTGATTCAGACGTTAGGCGGAGACATGTGTGAGAGGGAAATTGGCTGTAAGAACGTGTGCTCCAACGTTTACTTTGTAATGTCCAGCGTTGGTGATGTGGACGTTGAGCTCATTCCTGTTATCATGGGCCACCATCCAACAGGCGGATCTACACGACAGATGCAACAATATGGACAGGCTGTCGCATCTCATGAATTCAGGAAGTTCGATTATGGACCAGAAATCAACCAGAAAGTCTATGGAACAGTACAGCCACCGAAGTTCGATATGTCGAAAGTTCAAGTACCGGTCGCATTGTACTCTTCGAAGATGGATTGGCTATCACACCCTGATGACGTCGAGAGGCTCTACAGGGAGCTCCCCAACGCGAAAGACCACTACATGGTAGCCGATGACCAATTCACTAATATGGACTTCCTGTTCTCTAAGAAGGCGCCCCAATTTGTTTACGAAAGACTGATCGAAAATATCAAGCAGGATTCAACAATGTGATTTATTTAATTTGTGTTATATTTATGAATTTCATTTAAGTTTTAATTAATTTTATAACAATAATAAGTTTTTTTTTTATTTCATGCAAGCATAATAAATCCGTCCGTAAAGGTAACAAAAGTGTTTATTAATGTTCCTAAACTCTCCATCGATGTTACATGTTTTCCTCAACATCTATAAATCTCATATCACTCAGTCACTCACATGAAGTTGCTTCATGGTCACTCACTACAGCCCATCACAAGTCTACTCACGATCCTGAGCCATCTGCCAATCTCATATATACAAACTTTGACGGACATTTACAAAATATAATATATTCTATAATAACATTTTTACTGTTTATATAAATTATAAAAAATACTTTTACATATTCTCTAAAATAACATAGATGAAGTGTTTTCAAAAGCCTAATAATGATTTTTATGATATAATTTATACTTTAATAAATAGTTATTGGTTATTAGTAATTACTCATCAAAACAGTTTCTGAAATGGGACTTTTGTCTTTAATGTCACATTAGAAAAAGTACCTAATAAATTAATAATATTTGTATAGGTTAAACCTAAGTACTTCTACTAAGTCAAAGATCTCCAAAATTAAAAATTAAAATAGGCACAAGCATACTGTATTAAACGTAGAAAACATACAGTAATCTAATCGTTAGGATACGGACTGCTAACTCGGAAAGTCCGTACGACTTGGTGTCGTGATCAACTCCTAGCACAAGCATAAAGCTTGTTTGGAATGGTAGTATTAGTAATGGTGGAGATAGAGTTACTAGTATTTAAAAATAAAAAACATTACAAATTGTACACGACTTTGTAAATAAATACGAAATTGACGGCTCCGTGGCGCAGTGCCTTAGCAAGGAGTTACAGCGCTGAAGGGCGCGTGTTCAAATGCCGCACGCAACATATTTGTGTGGTCTACAAGTAATTGTTCCGGGTATGGATGTTTCTCTTTGTGCAATTTATATAATATGTAAGCTGCCTCTACGCTACAAGAGAAAAATTAATGGTACATATAAGACTACGCTATTTATATACTATTATGTACCATTATAATGCTATTAGGTACACTATATTAGCTATTATGTTCTTACATTTTACTTTCACCTAATATCTAAAAAGTCTTAACCCGAATCAAATTTTTATAATGCCTACCCCTCTGGGTGACAGGTGTGAGTGTTCATTTATTTTTATGTGTGCACTTTTTTATAACTTGGCAAACGTGCTAATTCCGTGCGGGATTCGAACCCGCGGCCCCCAGCGCAACAACTCATTGATAAGCCGCTGCGCCACGGAGCCGTCCCAAATAAAAGTTATCTTATATATACTATTATTATAGTAATAAAGTTATCTTATAATATTATTTTAATTTTATTTACCTACTTAATTAAAAATTTACAAATTACATAGAAAAGTTGAATTAATTGCATATTAGTAAAAGAAATCCATAACAGATGGCGCATGGTAAGTACATAATATTTGTTATTTTGTAAACGGTTGGCTTTTTGACATTTGAATACATTATAAGCGGTCGCAGCCCACGCTTTGTTTTGACATACACTTCCATTCTGTCATAGCGTTACCGTGAGAGTGAAAAGGCTATACATGTTATCGTAATGAAAGATAAGGACAAACGCGCGGCGGCGCGCTGTAGCTTCCCGCCGTCCCCCCAAACGCGGCGCTGTTAGACAGTCGCGCTCCAGTTCGGTTTGCTGTGCGTAGTTCGCCCTGAGTTATTTTCATTTAAATTGTTGTTTACATAAATAAACTAAACTGACGGACATTGTGTGAACAGTTTTTGTGTTTCATCAGTGACTGAGTGGAAAACAGTGTTCGAATGGATTAAGTAACGATGTTACCACCTACGGCCGGTATAGCACAGGATCAACGCGACCGGCCCGACATGGCATATCAGCAAAGACGCGACGTTCGAGAAATTACAAGGGACATTATCAGGGACGCTCGCGTTACTAACCGACAGTCCATGTCGCCTGGAGGTAAGCTAAGCCGGCCTAACGACGCCACGTTTCCGCCATGCTTGTCATATTGACATACGTCAAGGTGACATTTAAAGAAAAACAACGCGTTTAGCGTTGTATTTTTTAAAAAAACAGCTTTATTTTGTTTAATAGGCACATGGGGACAAAGTAGGACATATCGTAGACCTGTTACGTCATCTAGGAGCTCGATAATGTGAAAGGAAAATGGCGCCAATGCGCCACATTGTTTGTTCAGATTAGTTTACCTTTATTTAATTTTCATAAAGAGCTGAATACAGTTTTATAATACATGATTAAGTAATGGAAAAAACCTTACAGACTGTTAATTTTGTTCTTAATTTTGCCCGGGATATATGTAAGTAAATTTGGCACGTGCCTAAGTTATTTTTAGCCAGCCCACTGCATAACCATAATCGATACCTGTAGTGTTCTATCGTAATCCATACTGAATTAGACTTAATGCTTTTTGGAAATGTATACAATACGAATGTAATGTGATCTTGTTTGTTTATTATTATTGAAATCTAATTGACTTACAATGTCGCAATGACAGGAAAATGACAGCGGTCAAGAAGCACAAGATGGCCGCGTTGTGTTTTATCAAAATTTTCAAATCACGCGCTATGCTTGGTGGCGCTGTTATCGTTTTGTTGTTGATATCCAAATAAAGTTTGGTAGGTAGGTAAGGTTAATTATTATTGATTGAAAGTATAAAGTATATTATTATTGTTTGGAATACATATTTTTGGTAGAAATTAGTTTTTCCTATGCTAAACTAGTTTTTCCTAAGGCTGGAAGGGTGATTCAGATGTTCGCGACAAATCAACCCACTGTATCTGATATTTCTTTTCCCAACAGAATCAAGTAAGTAATAAATATCTCTGATCTAGTTATGCTAGCTTGCGAAAAATTAGTTAAGCCAAGAAAAAACTACATTGTTCTTAAATCAATTGGCAATATGTAAATTTTGTATCATATCCAACACTTGTTCATGAGCAAGATTATTGAAAAATGTCGTAATTTTGTTCTTCATTTTCTCGAAAACTGGGCTTAGCTTTCCATTGACGTCCGTCGAGTTGGAGGTTGATATTTTTTTTTTATAGAAAGAATACATTATTATAAGCACACAGGCAAAGTTTCATCATGCGGAAACGCATACTTTTTGAGAAAAAAATTATTGAAAATCAATTATTTTTGCAATATTTATGTCAATTCCCACCGTAAATCTTAACGCTATTTTGTATTGTCGTTGTCAGCAGGGATGTCGATTCTTTCTGAAAAAGTTCGATTTTTTTCCCGCGGGAGCGCAGAACGGTGTCCAGGACCAATGACGAATGCACACTGGTTAAAAGATATATCTCACAGTGTGAAAGCCAATCGCAGGATGTAATTTATATTTCGGGATATAATATATATTATATTTGGCTTAGCTTTCCATTGACTCCCGTCGAGTTGGGGTTGATACATATTTTCACAGAAAAGTTACACTATTATAAGTGTGTGTGTGCTTATAATAGTGTAACTTTTCTGTAAAAATATGTATCAACCCCAAACTCGATGGGAGTGAATGGAAAGTCGTACCTTATATCCCATAATAAAAAGCCAGCTTTAATCTGAATGTGAGCCATATTATGTATAACTAGCAGTCTGCCCCGGCTTTGCACGGGTGATTTCTAGATCTCGACAACAACACCACCAACCAATCAAAGGTCCAATTGTGAATCTAAACCATCCACCAGAGACCTATTCAAACATACACAAAAAATTTCATCAAAATCATTTGAGCTGTTTTTTAGTTTTATCGAAACTAACGAACTGCAATTGATGTTTATAATATATAGGTAATTTTTTAACACTCCTGCACTGCCCCTTGCGGGTGGTATTTCGTATAATCTGTTCATAGCTGACCTTTACTTGGCGAAAGGAATATTCCTACCAAATTTCAAGTCTCTAGGCCTTATGGTTCCAAAGATATTGTGATGAGTCAAAACATAGGTGGAAATCTCTTACATAATAAATATAGATAAAATGTTTGTTATTATATTTGGGCCACATTGCAATATTGTTCATAAACTAGCAAGAGAAGATAATAAAGAGTTTTTATTTGAACTACAGATTTTAGAAAAATCCTTTAATTACTTGATTATAGTTGATCATAAGATACCAATCAGAGATATTGTAATGTATATGCAATACATTACAATATATCAGATCCAAGATTTATTTCAATAATACACATATATTATTTATTTCCACATAAATTACAGTTATATATTGTGGAATATTTTCTTACTACTGGAAATTGTTTTTTTATCTTCTTTAAGTATTCTTGACCAAACTTTACTGTAACATTATCTTTCATCAACATTTTAAAAAACTTCAAACACATAAACACAAAAATGTGATGCTCTGCCAAACTTATGCTATTTCCTTATTTAACTAAATCTTGAATGTCCTAATGTATCATGTGATTAGCTATGTCCACCAAATTAACCAAAAAGGAGAAAAAAACTTTACTTGTTAGTTAGTTAGTTAGTTTACTTGCATGTACAATTTTATTATTAAATTCATTATTTACGTGTATTAAGTCACTTAAAATTAAGTTCAAATTTTGTTTGACTTCACTAATTAATACATGAAAATCACCCTTATACCAACATCTAATATAGTATAATATCTATTCTGTGATTATCCCAAACTTTCTTTTTTATGTTAAAAATGTCTTCCTCACACTACGAATTTCTCTTGTATGTCCCTCATTGTATTATAGAGATGTTACTTTTACTTCTAATTGTCTGATATCATTCTATGAGTGTCAATTGTACAAGTGGTAAGTTAGAATAAGAGATTAATGAGAAAAAATTATTTGATTTTTAAAATATAAAAAAGAATTTCATAGACTAATATATATGTGGTAGGGCCATGCCGCAGCTATATTAGAATGAATGGGTAGGCTCGACTGGGGAAGGACCACACTATTGTCTTTCT